AAGGATGGATGAAGGGACCGCACGAGAGGGAATAGAGAATATAACATTAAATCCGAGACGTTAAAAAGTAAACAAATGACACATAAAATAAGATGAAAATGAATAAAAAACAAAACAAAACTATCTGAAATGGCGACTGATAGAGGGTTACAAGATTAATCGAACGGCAGAACAGAACACACGGAATCCCATTTCCTGAAGAAGGTTGATAGCTTGTGCGTGAGGAAGGAAGGAGAGAGGGTGGAAAGGAGTGCGTGTGTGTGTGTGTGTGTGTGTGTGTGTGTGGTGTGTGTGTGTGGTGTGTGTGTGTGCGTGTGTGTGTGTGTGTGTGTGTGTGTGTGTGAGATAGATAGATAAAGAGAGAGAGAGAGAGAGAGAGAGAGAGAGAGAGAGAGAGAGAGAGAGAGAGAGAGAGAGAGAGAGAGAGAGAGAGAGAGAAGAGAGAAGAGAGAGAGAGAGAGAAAGAGAGAGAGAGAGAGAGAGAGAGAGAGAGAGAGAGAGAGAGAGAGAGAGAGAGAGAGAGAGAGAGAGAGAGAGAGAGAGACAGACAGACAGACAGACAGAGAGTTAAACATAAACGCTCTACATGCACACGTACTCACATACGCACAAGTGCACTCACACACAAGCACACATACATACTTACAGACAGACCCAAATACACGTACAAATACAGTTTCATAGACATTAAAAAATCAGACCCAGAGAGAAAAGAGGAGAATGAAATTTAGTACCGAAAGAGACGAAGGGAAGAAGAGAAACGAGATAAGATGAATTGACAGATACGAATGGAGGAGATGGCCGGGAGAGGTCAAGGGAGGTCAGAGTAGAACCCAAGAAACCAGACGAAAACCGCGTCGGCAACTAGCGGCTGAGAAAGACGGATGCGCCGCCATCGAACTCGACGCTCTCGCCTTCGCCGAGAAAATAGAAAATAAAGTGAATTACCCGCATTCTCGATTCCTCTCCTTCTCGTACTGTTCGTTCTCCCCTCCCCCTCCCTCTCTCCCTCTTTCCCTCCTCTATCTCTCTATCTATCCCTTCTCCTCCCTCCCTCCCTCCCTCTCTCCCTCCCTCCCTCCCTCCCTCTCTCCCTCCCTCCCTCCTCCCTCTCTCCTCTCTCTCTCTCCTCTCTCCTCCTCCCTCTCTTCCTCTTTCCTTCCTCCCTCCCTCTCCTCCCTCTCTCTCTCCCTCCTCCTCCTTCCTCCCTCTCTCCCTCAATCGCTCAATCGCACCGCACTTACTCACTCGTACCAGTTCACATTCCTCACGTCCCAGTCTCTTCTTTCACTGCTCGCCCTTCCTCCCTTCATCTCTCCTTTATATCGATCATCCTTCCTTTCCTTTTCCTCTGTTTCTTTCTCTCCTCCTTTCTCACTCCCTCGCACCTTTCACCTTTCTTTCTATCTTCCTCTTTCTCTCTTTTTCTCCCGTCTCCCTCGCACCTTTCACCCTCCTTTTCTCTATCTATCTATCGTCTCTCTTCTACTACCCTCCTCCCTCCACCCCCCCCCCCGCCTCTGTGTGTGTGTGTGTGTGTGTGTGTGTGTGTGTGTGTGTGTGTGAGTGTGTGTCTGTCTGTTTCATTCTCTCTCTCTCTGTTGTATTTTATCATTCTCTTCATGTCTTATTTCTCTTGCTCTCCTCTCTCAGATCTTCTCTCTCTGTCNCTTCTTCTTCTTTGTCATTCTTTAGTTCTTAGATATACATTGATACGTTATGATACACTATTATAAATAATCAAACATTTTTACTAGCTAAAGATATCATTATTACTGCCGTCTATCTTAAAGCTAACCGTTTATACATACAAAATTCATAAATTCAATATCCAGACATTTACTGTTCATTCAAAAATAGTAAGATGTGTCCCGGAACCTCAAGATGTACACTTAAATAGATATTCTACGTTTGGGTATATCTTTGGAGAACTACCGAGTACTACAGTCGGTGTTCATCCAACGAACATCCAAGGTGTTCGTTCCACTGATCTTGTGAACATCTCGTTGAGTACAGCGAAGTCCCTCCGTTACTGCAGGCTCGGTAGATTGGGTTCAGTACCGGGTTCACCTTGAATAATTCTTCTGGCCCTTTCCTAATCTCGTCCAGAAGGGAGAGATAACTAGCTGCATCCCCCCCCCCCTCTACGTGATGATATGTACTCCATCAGAGAGCGCATTCGGGCCTTGCACAAGATCTCTGCCACGAGCATTCAACAGCTAAGAATGTCTTCGCAGCGATGCTAGTTTCCCAGAAGCCTTTCTTGCTATATGTGTTGCTTGAACGTCATTTTGTTATCATATA